GCATAATGCCAGGATGTATGACTTTTAGGGGTCATGCATAATGCCAGGATGTATGACCTTTAGGGGTCATGCATAATGCCAGGATGTATGACCTTTAGGGGTCATGCATAATGCCAGGATGTACGACTTTTAGGGGTCATGCATAATGCCAGGATGTTTGACCTTTAGGGGTCATGCATAATGCCAGGATGTTTGACTTTTAGGGGTCATGCATAATGTCAGGATGTACGACTTTTAGGGGTCATGCATAATGTCAGGATGTACGACTTCTAGGGGTCATGCATAATGCCAGGATGTACGACTTTTAGGGGTCATGCATAATGCCAGGATGTACGACTTTTAGGGGTCATAATATTTATTGACATATCATCTATGATTGAATGTTATATTTTGAAACATGAAATTATAAATATTTTTTTTTTGTATCTGTTTTCTTGGTAGGTGCTGTTGGTAGTTCTTTATTGGCATATATACTACCATGTGTTTTTCATTTAAAACTTCAATGGAATCAACTCAGTAAAGGAATTATTGTGAAGGATCTTATCATCATTGTTGTTGGCACTGTTGGTGGCATTATTAGTCTCATTGTTGTGATTCAACAGTTTGTACTCATGAGACAATCAGAATTTTAATGTAATGACATTTTATATTGCATTTAAGCTTTGCAAATCTGTCATGCACATCTACCTGTATGTGTTACTGTACTGCCTGAGTGCAGTATTCTTGTGATAACTTTATTATTATACATCTTTTCTTTGCCTGTAGTAATAATTTAATGAGATAACAACCCTGTACTGCCTGAGTGCATACTTTGCTGTATTCTTGTGATAACTTTATTATTATACATCTTTTCTTTGCCTGTAGTAATAATTTAATGAGAGATAACAACCCTGTACTACCTGAGTGCATACTTTGCTGTATTCTTGTGATAACTTTATTTATTATACATCTTTTCTTTGCCTGTAGTAATAATTTAATGAGAGATAACAACCCTGTACTGCCTGAGGGCATACTTTGCTGTATTCTTGTGATAACTTTATTATTATACATCTTTTCTTTGCCTGTAGTAATAATTTAATGAGAGATAACAACCCTGTACTGCCTGAGGGCATACTTTGCTGTATTCTTGTGATAACTTTATTATTATACATTGTCTACCTGCTTGTAGTAATAATTTAATGAAAGCTAATATCTCAACATGGCAACGAAAAGCATTTTATGCTGTGTCAATTCAGTGACAGGATTTATTACAATCACACATTATGGCACTGCTGTGTCTGAAGTAAACAAAGGAAAGTTTTTGAATGTGACATAAACATAATAAATGAAGACATTCAAACTCATCTGTAAAACTTTTGAGCCAATCTGTATGGCGTTTTATGGACAGGTGAATTCTATTGTTTTCAAAGTCAGATGTATAGTTATATGAGATTGTAAATGGGTAATGAAAAACTGCTGCTGAATTTGATTTTAAGTGATCCCTTTATATTACCATTCACTTAGCTAGGAGGTTTGTTCTTGAAGATAATGGACAAGACTCTCCAGTAAATGAAATGTGTAGAAATGTGAGGACAGCATATCTACTATTTTTATATTTCGTATATATTTTTTTAGTAACATGATTTTACACATTTTATATTTTTAATTCTTTCTGAAAATGATGTTACACATAAGTGGTAATGCATTTATTTTTAAAGAGGCTATTTGTAACAATTCCCCCAGTACATTCTATGTATGATATGGTATATTCATGCTAAGCAGTTCTTTACTCCATTGAGTACATTCTATGTATGATATGGTACATACATGCTAAGCAGTTCTTTACTCCATTGAGTACATTCTATGTATGATATGGTACATACATGTTAAGCAGTTCTTTACTCCATTGAGTACATTCTATGTATGATATGGTACATACATGCTAAGCAGTTCTCTACTCCATTGAGTACATTCTATGTATGATATGGTATATTCATGCTAAGCAGTTCTCTACTCCATTGAGTACATTCTATGTATGATATGGTACATACATGTTAAGCAGTTCTTTACTCCATTGAGTACATTCTATGTATGATATGGTACATACATGCTAAGCAGTTCTCTACTCCATTGAGTACATTCTATGTATGATATGGTATATTCATGCTAAGCAGTTCTCTACTCCATTGAGTACATTCTATGTATGATATGGTACATACATGTTAAGCAGTTCTTTACTCCATTGAGTACATTCTATGTATGATATGGTACATACATGCTAAGCAGTTCTCTACTCCATTGAGTACATTCTATGTATGATATGGTATATTCATGCTAAGCAGTTCTTTACTCCATTGAGTACATTCTATGTATGATATGGTACATACATGTTAAGCAGTTCTTTACTCCAGTGAGTACATTCTATGTATGATGCGGTACAATAATGCCAAGCAGATTTTTTACTCGAGTGAGTACATTCTATGTACTAATTCGACCTACTAGATGTTGACAGTTGTGACTCACTGCTATTAAATATTACAAAAATCCGCTATCTCATGTATGCTGACAACATAGTCATTCTATCAAAATCAAAAATAGATTTACAAACCTGCTTAGATAAATTAGCCATGTACACGTCAAAATGGCATTTAACAGTAAATACTGCAAAAAACTAAAATCATGATTTTTAATAAATCAATTTAACTATCTTGGCCTCAATATAACTCTAAATGGAAAATTCAAAGAAGGTCTAAAATCACTGAGGAAAGAAGGCAATGTTCTCGTTAAAAGATTAAAAAAATAGGCTCAAATAAAAAATTGAGTATTCAGCTACAATTGTCACTCTTTGACAAACTTATTCAAATTATTTTGTAAAAAATAGTGCAATATAAAATAAAATTTTCCTTAATTTATGAAAACTGATATTTAGGACAGGTCATTGTAAACTGGAATGTTTATTAATGTTGGAGGAAAATTTGTAAAAAAAAAATTTTTTTTTTAATTTTGTTGTATAGTTTCTTTATTATTAGGGATATATTATTAGTGTTTTAAGCAGAATTTCACTATCCAAGTAAAAAATACAATCTCAAGCACAGTCAAATGTCTGATAAACTTTAGTATCCATGTGGAATAGACAATTCTATTTTAATCAAATATATGATGGGAGTGTTTGTTTTTAATATTTGAGAGACTTTGGGTGTATATTTGCATAACGTGACCAAATCATATGACAAACTGCAAGCATTCAAAACAGAAATTCCAAGACAACAATGATCAGTTCACCTATGTATATTTAATATGCTGCCAGGCTGTTTAAGGTGATGATAAAAACTTGCACAGACCTGGCTAGTTTTACTAAAATCTGTGCATATTAAATTACCTAATTTGCATAATTAGTCTTTTCACTCAATAACACGAGTACTAATCATCTTATTTCATTGAATCTTGATCTAAATATTATTTCTGATATTTCAAAAATCTGATTTAAATTGAACTTGTGGTAGAGTTGTTCTGGTGTAAATCAGGCTAAAAACCACAGATATACAATCAAAATTTATTTCTGTGTGTATTATAGCTTCAATAATGTGGATCACATACATTGTAGTTGCCAAGGTTGTTTGAAAGGCTAAAATTTTGAAATTATTAATATGTCTCTAATACTGTCATCACAGAGGAGTTTTGAGTTCAGCTGTTGAATGGCACTTAATAATACATTGAGTAATTTGCACATAGGGTATAAATAAATAAATAAATAAATAAATGGGTTGTTGTATACAAATACATGTAAACAAATGTACTTATTTGGTGTTAATGATATTAATGTTATAAACTTTTCTTGATTTAGGCCAGACTTTTATTATCCCTTGTTTCGTGAACCCGCCAAGTGAACAGGAGCCAAAAATGAAATAAAAATAAAATTTTGTTTCAGCGTAATTTCTCACGCCTGCCGACTTGTGCAAAAAATTACTAAAAAAAACTTATTTTTATCTTCTTTTTTTTTTTCGCCCGCTGCATAACAAGTTGCATTTTCGTGGGAATATCATGATCAAAGTATCAAAGTCTTGCGCAGATAAGAAACAAGTTTATACACGGAATAAAATTGTATTTCATTTCTTCTCTCCCATCAATGATCTCACAAATCTAATGGAAAAAAAGAATTAATTTTAGTTTTTTCCCACCCTCCTCAAAAAAATTGCCTTATAAAAACTCAAGAAACAAGGGAAAAAAAGTCTGGCCTTATTACGAAAACATTTTTTTTACTAGAAGAGACATCAAAGCACAATTAATTTCTGTTTCATCACTTAAATATGCCTAGGTCTGTATTTCATCTGGTTGGTCAGTGTTTCATCACTCAAATATGCCTAGGTCTGTATGGCATCTGGTTGGTCAGGGCCCTTTTTTTAAAGCGCATTGGTACATTGTTGCAAACTAACACTTATACTGACATATCAGATTTTTTACCTTGCTGAGTTTAGAATAACTTAGAACCAGATGTAAAAATTGATGCTGTTGTATACGTAGTGTGTTGATGCATTATGATCTCAGGTCCAATTTTCATTTACATATTGTAAGATTATCTATTGAACAAAGATGGTGGGCTGTATTACTTGAATCTGTTGCTAGTGTTCAATCTGACCCATCCAATCCTTAAACTTTGGGTAGGACTGTATAGCCAGGTTTTATTAGTCTCCTGTTCAGGCGCAGCCTGAAAACGTGACTACTGGTTCTAATTTGTTTCTGGTTTCAATCTCCAAAATTTTTTCAGAAATTCTGCAGCTAATATCAATGAAACTTGGCAGGTTGATGATGGACAATTATCTGAAAAATGGGTCTTTTTAATGATTTTCATTATAAATTACCTATCCCAACAACACTGACAGAACAATTGCGGATGCTCAGAATAAATTGATTTGGTTAGATTCAGATTCATGAATTTATTAAATTCAGATTCATAAGTTTCACCTGATGTATTCGTTCCTAAATAAATTGATAACAGAAACACAATTCGTACTATACATAGAAAATACAAAGCTATCATTAACAAACCAAACTTACGACAACTGAGACTAAATATTTATGAAGATACAACATAAATTATATTTATGAGTGAACAAAAAATGTCAGAAAATTATTATTGTGTATCACCTTTATATTACATGTGTACTGCTTAAGATAATAAAAACTTGGTTTATTTCGAAAATAAGTATCTTTTTTATGTATGCAGTTTTTAAATAATGAAATCCTGGGTTTGCTGAACAACATCTTCAAACAACAAAAATGATGGAGTTATAAATAAATGTGTATTACAGAAGTACCGTACTCGCAAAGTATAATGAAGAAAAGTTTTCCTAATCTTGGATTCTTTACCAACAAAAACTTGTCAGAAAAATATTTATATTCTATATAATAATATTGTTGATATATAAAAATTGTCAGTGTTCTTCACCGCACAAGATATTAACAAATCAGTTGTCATAAATTTTACAATAATAAATAAATGTTTAAGATTCTCAGGGTTAAATCATGATAATTGCATACTGTGCGAATTGAGCC